GAGGAGCCTTAAGAAGCAACGTCACATTATGCCAGCGTGACCATTGGCTCTCGCCCCGCGTGATTAAGAAGGTGGAACGCGAACGAGCAAAGCCGATAAAACCGGCATGTAATTACGCTGGCAATTAGCGACAGCCAGGCCAGTTCACGTGGAATCTTTCAGCGATCGCCGTGAAGAATTTCCACCAACTTTTCATACGACGCGACGCCTGCACGAGACATGTCCGGCCATTATTATTCGATATCGTTCCCTCCGTTAATGTACAAGCGATACGACCGGAGAACGTGATTCTATTTGGACGATCGACGGGGTAGCTGGGGTGCTGGTGGGAAAAGAGTCAGATTTTAGAGTCGGGGACATTTTGTGGAAAGTTGTGTGAAGACCTTTCGAAGAGAGAATTTCGAAACGATTTTCGCGGTTCTTAAGTAGTTTCGTTTTGAAACTTTTTCCTTTTTTATCGACACGTTGGAAAGTTGTGTGAAGACCTTTCGAAGAGAGAATTTTGAAACGATTTCCGTGGCTTTCAAGTTTCATTTAAAAAATTTTTTCTTTAGCATTAACACGTTCCTAGTGTTTACAGAAAACTAAGAGATTTTAAAGGAATTCAAGTTTATAAATAAAAACATTGTGTTTGAATATTTACGTGATTATTTACATCGTGAAAGAACAGCATAGTAAACAATGATTTTTGTATGGAATAGCTTAAGTTGAAAAATGCAACGACAAATCCAATTACAACTATCAAAGGACAATATAAAATAAACTTCTACAATAACTAACTCCCCCAATCAAGACTTTAACGAGATCACTGTACGATTCTAGATCGACGAAACGAAGGTTTCCTTCAAATATCTCCTCACAAATTTCCCTGCAAACGTACGAAATGCAGCTACTCAAATTAAAAAGCACTTTGTCGAGCTAGTTACTCTAATCAAAAGTACATTTTTCGAAGCAAAAACCGTAATACCCGCAAAATGTCGAAAAAAGAAACCGTAAAGGAAGTTGCAAGCACGTAAGTACTTCAGCAGATGAAAGAAACTTTCGAAAAAGAAGAGCACCGAACATCTCTGAATTTTTAACACAGAAAAATCGTTCCACTTTGCTCCACCGCGACTCGCTTCCATTTCGAACTTATTTAAACATGATTTCACGATTGAATTGGAAATTAACGTTTATTCATTTTCATCGCAAGCAAAGAAATTGAAAGAAATTTATTTACGAACCTCAATAATGAACAACAATTAACATAATTAACACTAGGTTTACGAACACATCTTATCACCTATCTCTACCGCACATTTCCTTTAAAAAAACAACTTATTTGATTTAAAAACTGTTGGATATTTCGTCCTCGAGTGCACGTTTGAGAAGGGATACCCTAGACCAGGCGTGTCCAACCTGCGACCCGCGGGCCGCAACGTGGCCCTGAACAGCACAATATCGTAAACTTTTAACATTATTGTGTGACTTTTAGCGATATTTTTCACGACTCAATTGCATTATAAGAAAAAATATTAAAAAATAAAGGAGGTTTTGTTACTTATGTACAATTAACTGTATTATACATTTCGTATGGCCCAAGCAAATCGAAAG